CCTGCTTGCAGGCCCTGGGAAGCAGAGAGTACTAGTAGCACAGAGCACTCTGGTCACACCCTGACATTGGCGTAGTCCCCATCCTGTGCTGGGGGCTGGGAGAAGGGCTCAGGGAGGATCCTCAGTGTGAAGAAGGCTGTTTCTCCCACTCCAGAGGCTCTTGCACTGCCAAAATTGAATGGCAAGGCTTTAGGAGGAGTGAGTCATGCCCCCATGTGGATGGGCTCGAAGTGAAGGGACATGTGCAGCAGCAGAGCTGGAGCAATGCCCTAGCAATCAAAGACACGCGACTGACAGTAACTGCAGGTTATAACCTCCCAGGGAAGACGGAATGACTGAACTTGGAGTGAAATGTCACCAGAGTGTAAACAAAACCATTTTGCTGCAGTAGCCGCAGCAGTAGGATGTGTGCAGCACTAAAGGTGAGGCAAGGCTCTGATCAGTGCATAGCAGCCTTCACCCACAGAGCAGGGTGACAGTAAGAACTGAGAATCAGTGTGCGAGTATTTCTACCTCCAGATGCCCAGTTGCTCCACCCTGCCAGCGCGGTGCTTCAGTCCCATGCGGACCAATGGGAGGGGAACAATAGGGCATGTGCCCAGAACTGGGGAGGGGGGTGTTTGTGGGAAATTAGGGAAATAAGGGATTGTGGGTCCCTGTTAAAAGGGGCAGGTTGTCTGCAATGTGTGCCCCAGAGAGGGCTGAGGTAAAGGGAATGTTGATTGGAGCTGGTTTTAGAATTCAGAATTTCTATTCCACGGGAAATTCTACATTTCAAAAAGGCTTTTGTTCCAAATAGAACAAAAACTAGACATTTCTATGTTTCCCGAGGAACAGATATTCCTGGAAGATGTCTTGTGAAAAACCCAAAATGTTGCACTTCAATTATTCCAAACAAAATTCAGCATCTGGTTGCCCCAACTCTGGGAGATGCTCTGGGCTGCCCCTAGGGAGTTGCAGACCACCTAGGAGCCCTTGGAATGAGGGGAAGACTGAAGAGTCCCCCTGCCATGGAGCAGGGACCTAGAAGTCTGAGAGTCCCAGCTTGAGCTCCCAGTATTGCCAATGCTTCCAGGCATCTGGCTGGAGAGCTCCCCATCTTGTGCTGGGCCCTCAGCACTTCCAGGCTCCCTGCCATGGAGTGGAGAACCTAGAAGCCCCAAAAGCCCCTGGGAACTCCAGCTGGGACTCTCCAGGCTTCTAGATTCCTTGCTACATGGGATGGGATTCTCCAGGTTGCCTCACTAATCAGGGGACTCCCGGGATGCTCTGACCTCCTGCGAGTACACGGGCTTCCACATGGGAGAGGGACTCTCTACATGTGTCTAGAGGGGGTTGGTAACTGTCGCGGAGTGTGGGGGACTCAGGGCCCTGTACCCCCGGTTTCCTGTGATTCACCGTGACTCTCAGCCAGCCAGTAAAGCGGAAGGTTTATTGGATAACAGGAACACAGTCTACAGCAGAGCTTGTAGATACAACCAGGACCCCTCAATCAAGTCCTCTTGGGGAGTGCAGGGAGCTTAGACCCCAACTTGGGTTCCCTGCATTGCACCTCCCAGCCCAAAACTGAAAACTCCCCAAAATCACTCCAGCAGCTCTCTCCCCCCCCCTCCTGCTCCTCTTCTCCTTTGTTCAGTCTCCCTGGCAGAAGGTGTCACTTCTCCCACCCCCCTTCCTGGCTCAGGTTACAGCTCAGGTATCTCAATGTAACTCCCAGGCTACATTCCCAGGTCAAATCCGCCCTGCTCCCTGCTCCGTCACAGTAACAGATGTCAGGAGCCTGTGCCCGGGGGCCTGCTTCTATGGGTACATCTACACTACAGGGGGGAGTCGATTTAAGATACGCAAATTCAGCTACGTGAATAGCGTAGCTGAATTCGACGTATCGCAGCCGACTTACCCAGCTGTGAGGACGGCGGCAAAATCGACTTCTGCGGCTTTCTGTCGACGGCGCTTACTCCCACCTCCGCTGGTGGAGTAAGAGCGCCGATTCGGGGATCGATTGTCGCGTCCCGTCGGGACGCGATAAATCGATCCCCGAGAGGTCGATTTCTACCCGCCGATTCAGGCGGGTAGTGTAGACCTAGCCTATGATGGTGTGGGGCCTGGCTCAGAGAGCAGCAGCGATACTTCCAGCTCCAGGACTCCTGTATGGTTTCCAAAGGGTGGGTGGGTGGGTGAGTGGGTTGTTTGGTTGGTTAGTTTGTTTCAGTACTGCCCCCTCCCCCATACCCATTTGGCTGCTCAGATGTTTCTTTGGTGCAAATTCAACCAGGATCTATAATGGCAACACATTAGCACAACAATCATATAAGGGGGTACCTGGTGATATCATGACCTTATGACCTGGCTTAGCAGGGTTCCATACAGTGGCAAAAGAAGTGCCTCTTTCCCCTGTATTTGGGATGTAATCTGGTTAAGCTTGTTAAATTCCTGGCCAGTAAAACTAGCCTCAGTATGAGGATATGTTCCAACTGAGGAAGCAAAGAGGGGGAAAATCATTGCTAACTCCCCTGCAGATAGAAGCTGAAGACTCAGGGTACATATACATTGGAGCTGGGATATGGGATAAATTTGCAATGTGTCCGTGGTGGGACAGGGAACAACTTGGGCTAGCTGCCCAAGTACATACCCAGGTGGTCAGGTGTGATTGTAAGCAGGTGGCTGGCCCTTGCAACTGCCCATGCTGCCGTGGATACACTGCTATTTTTAGGTGCTACCTTGAGCAGACCTAGCGGGGGTACGTCGATGCAAGCTGGGAATCATACCGCCCAGCACAAAGGTAGATGTACCCTTAGCTGGAGCATGGGTGATCCTGTCCCTTCTCCATACCTCCCTGCCACAGACAACCTTTGTTGCAGTGATCAGCATGTGGAGCAATGACTCCTCCTTCTTTAGCTATGTGATTTGGGCTATTGGTAGGGCCCTATCAAATTCGCGGCCATGAATAACACTCCATGGACCATGAAATCTGGTCTCCCCCATGAAATCTGATCTTTTGTGTGCTTTTACCCTATACTATATAGATTTCACAGGGGAGAGACTAGTGTTTCTCAAATTGGGGGTCCTGACACAAAAGGGAGTTGCAGGGAAGTCACAAGATTATTTTAGGGGAGTCACAGTATTATCACCCTTACTTCTGCGCTGCCTTCAGATCTGCGTGGCCGGAGAGCGGCAGCTGTTGGCTGGGCACCCAGCTTTGAAGGCAGCACAGCCAGCAGCAGCGCACAAGTAAGGGTGAAAATACCAAACCATGCCACCCTTACTCCTGCGCTGCTGCCTTCTGAGCTGGGCAGCTGAAGAGTGGCGGCTGCTGACTGAGGGCCCAACTCTGCAGGCAGCAGTGCAGAAGTAAGAGTGGCAACTTCACTGCTCTGAGTTGGACCCCAAAACATCACATCCCCTTTCTACTCACTTGCTCCCTGCCTCAAGTGCAGGGATAAATTGAGAATCAAGCTCTGTGTCTCCTTAAATGCTTCTCTATTTGTATCCCCAGCTTCACAGCTCTAGCCAGAGCATGCAAACTGTGTTTCTGCACTCCTGAATTCATCCATGCACTGCTTTCTCAGGCAACTCATCTCAGATCACATTATCCTAGGATAGAGCCAGCTCCCCAGTTGCTGCACAGCCCCACAATGCTGGAGTAAAGTTCACAAAGGTTTCTCCAGATAATCGTTATCTGCTGCTGAAATGGGATGTGCTTTTGCAGTGTAATGAAATGTCCTAGAAGCATCATTACTGTTTCCTTGACGCAACCGAACGAGAGGTTGGAAAGCTTTTCTCCAGGCTTCCTGCAATGCAGCAGTTCTCAGATATATCTCACAGGCTATCAGCCAATGGGACGAGGTTTTTGGTAACTCGTTTTCCTGGCAATATTGCTACAGTAGGACATGGAGGAAGGGGATTTGAAAACCCCCTCCTCCCCATATTCATCACTTTCATCAGTATCATGCAGGCAACATCCGTACTCTACATTTACTGTACAAAAATGCTTGGTTCCTTCAGCCATCAAAAGTCACCTCCTATCGGCTGCTCATTTACCTTGCAGCCAGCACGTTAGTTGAGATTTCCAAAGCCAGAGAGAGGGAGTGGCTGCCAAAGCCCCATTACTTCTAATGGGAACTGGTCACCCAAATACCATAGGTAGATGCTGACATCTCTTTAGCTTATTGCTCAGGACACCAGAAGATGTCAAGAAGCCACTGTAAGATTGCAGATCTGGTTGTGTACAAGCTGTATAGAGAGGGACTCTCACCTCCCTGCTTCTCGAGGAGGTGTCTCTGCATGGGGACCTCCAAATTAAAATGACCTTTAGAAATGTCATACCACACTGCAAAGCCATGTCTAATTTACCATGCCTTGGTCTCATCCAGAACCAGTGAATAACAGGGAGTGCTGCTAGTCAGCACTGAGATGCATTGGCAAAGCCATATGGGAGTGCGAGGGCTGGAATAGCAGGATTGGGAAGGGCATGGGGGTTCCAGGACTAAAATAACATGGTCTGGGGAGAGCTGTGGCTGTGGACAGGGTTGCCAGTGACAGAGCTGTGTGGAGGAATTTGCACAAGTGCTGTCTGAATTACAGGTGCACATGATATTATTTGTCAAGTTATGAAGTTTAAAGCCAGAACGGACCATGAGTTTGTCTAGCCCAGTGGTTCTCAAGCTATTTACCATTGTGGGCTGCATATGTAGCTCTCTGTGTTATGTGTGCCGCATCCACACAATATATACGCTACCTGTATGGCCCTGAGGCTGTCACATGGGCTGCTGCTGTGTGCTGATTGGGCCGCAAGTGGCCCACGGGCTGTGGATTGAGAACCACTGATCTAGTCTGACCTATTCCAGCTACTCCTGTATTGAACCCAGTAACTAGCCGATCACTTTAATAAGAACTACATTGATTTACAGATTTGTTCTTTAAAAAAGAAACTCAAGCACAGCCCTTAGTCCCCAGCCTAGTGAAGTGGGTCCTGGGGTGCTGGGATTCTGGCTACTTACAGGCTGTACTGACAAAGGCTGAGTAGAGTTCCTTGGGAATCAGGGAATCAGGCATGTCCCGGAAAAACTCTTTGAGCAGAGCTGCCACATCGTGGACACAATAACTATCATCCAAGAAAACATCAAATCCCTGGTCGAATTCTTCCCGCAGCTTAAATAATGGGAAAAAGAGAAAAAGAAAGGAAAAAGGCAAATAGCAATCAGTCACTCCTCCATCTAGCAGTCTGGGGCCCGTCCCCATGAAGGCTGTGGGCATGCATTTCCCACTGAAGTGAAGGGGATTGGAGTGTGTTCAGTTCACAGAATGATTAATAGATTTTAAGGTAAGAAGGCACCTTTATGATCATCTAGTTTGACTTCCTGTGTAATTCAGGCCAAAGCTGCTGGTTGGACTAGAGAATATCTTTTGGAAAGACACCCATTGTGATTTGAAGGTGACAAGTGATGGAGAAATTGCTCCAATGGTTAATTACCCCACTTAAAAATGGGCACTTTTTTCTAGTCTGATCTAATTGGCTCAATTGGATCTTGATCTGCTTTTGTCTGCTATTATTAAAGAGTGCTTTGCTGTTAGAATCTTCTCCCCATGCAGAGACTTCTAGACTATGATCAAGTCAGCTTTTAACCTTCTCTTTGATACACTAAATAGAGTGACCATTTTAAGTCACTTGCTCTAAGGCAGATTGTCCAGCCAGCAAATTATTTCTGGTTCTTTTCAGAACCCTTTCCAATTTTTTCAATATCTTTTTTTTAAACTGTGGATACAAGAACCAGATGGTTTGTCAGTGATGATCTTACACATTGACTTGCTTATGTATCCAAGGATCACGTTCAGCCTCTTAACCACAAAATTGCACAGGGAACTAATGTTCAGCTGACTATCCACCAAGACCACCAAGTCCTTTTCTGAACCACTGCTTTCCAGGATGTAACCCCCCCTCCCCTCCCCCCGATTCTGTAAGTGTGATGCACATTCTTTGGCACTAAATGTATGACCTTAGATTTTGGCTGTATTAACATATTGAACATATTGTTCAAATGAGCCCAGTTTACCAAGCAATCCAGATCAGTCTGTACAATTGCCCTGTACCCATTTTTACCACTCCATCAATTTCTGTGTCACCTGCTAAATTTATCAGCAATGATTTTATGTTTTCTTCCGGATCACTGATAAAGATATTAAATAGTATCAGGCCAAGAACAGATCCTTGCAGGACCTCACTAGTAACATCCCCATTGAATGCTGATTCCCCATTTACAATTACTTTCTGAGATCAGTTAACCAGTTTTTAATCCACTTAACATGGGCTGCAATGATTTTGTAGGGTACTGTTTTTTTAAATATAATGTTGTGTGGCACTAACTCAAATGCCTTACTGAAGTCCAAGTATATGGTGTGAACACAATTTCCCTTATCAGCCAAACTTGCCATCTCATCAAAGCACGTCAAGTTCACTTGACAAGATCTATTTTCACAGAATCATGTGGATTGCTAAAATAACAATGCTACCATTCTTTAATTCTTTACTGGTGACATCCTGTATCAGCCATTCCACTGGTTTGCCCAGGCTAACCAGCCAATAGTTATACCTGGGTCCCCAATATTCCAAGTTTTGTTAATTATCAACATTATGGCTCAAACAACTCCCCAGTCAATTCTTTTAAAACTCTTAGGTAAGATATCTGATCCTGCAGATTTAAAAATGTTTATGTTCAGTAGTAGCTGTTTAACCTCCTGTCTAGATAATGTTGGAATAGAAAATATTTGTATGAATATGACTATAAATACAGAACAGAAATATCTATAGAATACTTCCTTTTCTGCATCATTATTGACAATCTTACCTTCCCTATGTATAACATTACTAGGATTTCTTTTTTTCCTGAAGTATTTAAAGAATTCCTTTTTAATTGTCATTCATTCTATTGGCCAGACATTTTTCACTTATGATAGCAGAGGGGGGGTCTATGTAGCAAAGGCAGAACAAATTCCAATAGCTTGAAGTTGAAGCTAGACAAATTCACAATAAGGAACATACTTTAATAATGAAGATAATTAACCACTGAAACATCTTACGTAGTGATATGGTGGATGCTCTATCACTTGAAATCTGTAAGGGTTGGATGTCTTTCTAAAAGATAGGCTCTAGCTCAACTAACAGCTATAGGCTTGATGCGGAATCACAGGTAAAATTCTCTGGGTTGTGTTATGCAGAAAGTCAGACTATAGGATCAGAGTGGTCCCTTCTAGCCTTAATATCTATGAATCAGTTCCAAGAAATATTATAATAAAGAGAGGGGTGGAAGAACATAGTAGGGGTGATGTCTCTGGCCCCAATAAATCACCTTTGGGCCACATATCAGAAGAAAGACTAGCTGGGATTCACCTTACATAGGGGAATTGCCAGCTGGCATGGAGCCAGCTACACCAACCCTTCACAGTCCCACCCAGAGTAGAGGGCATGATGGAGGCATGGCCACAGCACATAGCAATCCAGTTGTTATGAGCCAAAGTAAGTTAGAGTAGCCCCAAGGCAGCTCTAAGTTATGGCAAGGGCCAAATCATCCCCCAGTTGCCTCCAGGATAGCTCAGCTGGACCCAAGGATCTAGGCCTGTGTTTCCCTCTGAGTCCTTGTCACTGGTTTCCTAGGTCCAGCCTCTGCACTGCGTTTTCTGCTCCTGCAGGACTACGTCAATATAATTTTAGACTCCGGTATTCCAAGCCCTACTTTATTTATTCTCTACCCCTCACACATACTCTGGCTTCCTTCTCCTCCACTTTCTGATCTTCTCAAGTGTCTAAGCTTGAGTCTCGTCTCCTCCCTTCATTGTCTTGTACTCATCCCTCCTTCCCTGGGCCATACCCCACTTTCTTCCTCTCTCCTTCCCATGCTCTCACCCATACCCCGTTTTCTCTCGCCCCCCACTCCTCACTCCATTCTCTCTTCCTTCTCCACATACTTCTCATGGGCACTGGGCACAGAGACTGTAGGGGCAGCTGCCCTGGATACACAGGAGACAGACTCACTCCAGCCTCTTACTCTGTTTCCTATATTGTGTTTTCTTTTCTCTCCTTGACTGCCTCTTCCCAACTGCCTCCCAGCACCATCCATGCTGATTTTTAACTTGCCTGTGTGGTAGAGAAGAGATACAGTATAACTGGCTCAGGGAAGCATTTTCTAGCCCTGGCAGATCCTTCAGGGGGACTCCTGATCTTGCCACATGGGGAGACCATTTTTTTGCTGAGCACACAAGCCAGAATAAAATGTGTTACAGCACATGGGGCTTACAGCTCAGGATACAGCCACATTTAAATCTGGTTCTTATTATAGAGTAGGCAAGTCTGTGTTCCCATCTCCCATTCTCCCTCTAGGTCCCTGTGGCACCTGTCACCTATACAGATTGTTTGGTGAGTTGGGCACTCTACCTGCTGAACTCTTTTCTTAGAGCTTCCAACACGGAAAATGCCCACAGTCTGGAGTCCTGAAAGAAAAATAGGTTTGTAAACAGCTCTGTATTCAAATGAATTTCTTTACTTGTCCACAGCCCTGACTGGTCTGTGCCATGTGGAACACTGGGCTCTTTACCTTTAGCTACAAGGGAAGACATTGCTTCACTCTGTTAACTCATGAAGAGTCAGTAAATGAAAGGCTTCTCCCTGTGCTGTCCTACAATCTGCCACCTCCATGCCACCCCATCCTTCGTCCCCAGGGTATCATCTGCAATTAATTAACCACTCCCTGAATCTCCTGGGTCCCTGGCCTCCAGCCTGTGCTACTTCCTCTATTATCTGAGTGCCAGGGGCGGCATTGCCCAGACTCAAACTGAGTTTGGGGACAAAGAATGGTTTTGAGAGTAGCTCTAGAGATGTCTTCGGCTGGTGGAACTGAAGCTATGTCTACATTACAGGCGTTAGAGTCACAGAGCTACAGTTCTGCAGCTGTGCTACTGTAGCACAATAGTGTAGATGTTTCCTACAGTGACAGAAGAGGGTTTTCCATCAATATAAGTAATCCACCTCTCTGAGCAGCAGTAGCCAGGTTGACCTGGCTGCATCTACACCAGAGGCTAGGTTGGCTTACTACGGAGCTATGGGGTGTGACATTTTCACATCCCTGAGCAGATGTAACTAGGTTGATGTAATTTTTAACACCTGAGCTGTGTTGCAAAGGTGACATGACAGAGCTTTGAAAATTGGGGGTTAGTGACTCAGTTTCTCTTGGCTATGCAAGTGAGACCAAATGTACCCCTGTATTCACACCTACACACTATTGTAATAATGTTTGTATAAGTTATGCCTCGTAAGGTATTATCTGAAAACCCATAATTTGCTGCTCTGTATTGTCCTGCTAAAATATGTGTGGCAACATGGTATGTAAAGTTATACAATTCACCCGTATAGTGAAATTGACACAAGTTCCAAACCCCATAGTCCTGCCCAAACAGAAGCTGGCAAACAGGTCTGTCCTAAACAAAGGAATGTGTGCTCTGCTTAAATTGCATTTAAGCCATAAACAGAACCATCAAGCAGCAAGGAAAGACAAAGGAAGTTCAAACAGGTGAAAAAAACAGCAGGGAACATCCTTCTACATCAACTCTTTGACTCCTGGTTCTCAGCTGGAAATGTTTGTCAAGAGAGGAACTGAAACTATAAACGGGAGAAACAAACACCACAAGACATCCCCTCCCTGCCCTGAAGCGACAAAGGAAGCAGCTGTTGGACTCTGAGGGAGAGGTCCTGATCTAGAGAGTTTGGTCAGTAAGACTGCCAAAAGCATGTGGTGAGAAAACTTTGCTTTGATTCTAATGTAGTTAAAAGCGACAAAGAGTCCTGTGGCACCTTATAGACTAACAGACATATTAGTCTATAAGATGCCACAGGACTCTGTCACTTTTTACAGATCCAGGATAACACAGCTACCCCTCTGATAATGTAGTTAAGTTAGGTATTAATAAATGTCTTATCTTTATTTTTCTTGTAGCCATTTCTGACTTTTATGCCTCCTATATGCCTACTTGTACTCACTTAAAATCTCTCTCTTTGTAGTTAATAAACTTGTTTTATTGTTTTATCTAATCCACTGTGTTTAAACTGAAGTGTCTGGGCATCTCCACTTGCGGTGACAAGTTGTGTGTATATTATTCTCTTAAAGAACATAAGAACGGCCATACTGGGTCAGACCAACAGTGGCCAATGCCAGGTGCCCCAGAGGGAGTGAACTAACAGGTAATGATCAAGTGATCTCTCTCCTGCCATCCATCTCCACTGTCTGACAAACAGAGGCTAGGGACACCATTCCTTACCTATCCTGGCTAATAGCCATTAATGGACTTAACCTCCAAGTTAAGGAATAACAGATTTAATATTAACAGATTTAATATAACTTGTCCTGTCCAAGAGAGGGTTGGGCAGTACAGGACATACATTTCTATGGGAAAAAAATCTAAGACTGGGGGTGTGTTGGGGACACCCTGCAGTATAACCAAGGCTGGTGAGAGCCAGAGTGTAACCCAGTGTGGCTGGCAGGCTGCCGTTACCCACAGACACTCAGGTGTGGCTTGCACGATGGAGGCTGTTTGTGAGGGACCCAGATGGGAGCTACTTCAACAAGACATTGTAAGGCACCCCAGGGTTGCAGGGCAGGGGTGACACGGCTGCTCATTAGTCTGGACTGTACCCTGGAATGTCACAAAATGTCTCCTGTTGATCAATGAATGCAGAAATCTTGGGGGCTAGAGAAACCTCAAACAGCATCAGAGACTCGGGAAAGGTCTTGGTTTGGATCCAGCAAAGGGGTGAAGATTTGTAGGGCGACTCTGAGCCAGTTTGTCCATCCCTAAGGGAGGTTCTTATGGGCCTTGGAGTTGGAGAGGCTCTGTCTCCTCCCCACTTCTAGCAGGGGGATGGATAGAGGGATTTAAATGGGAGAAAAATGAGATTCATAAGAATAAAAAGGTGGAATCCTCACCAAGCCTTGCCTAGGATTCTCTGCAGGCCTGAGCTGCACCCACCTTGAGAGGCAAAAGGGAAGGCTAGCCCACAGGATAGAGCTTCTTGGCTATAAGCAAGCAAACCAAAGCTCAGAAGGTAAGGACCAGGCCTATTCCCTGAGCTCACTGGGGGTTTGTCGCTGATTTCAGGGGGCCTAACGTGACATCATTTCATTATTCTCGAGGAATCCCTTTGGTTAGAGGGAAAAGCTTCTTTACCGTATGCCTCAATGTGCTGGCAACATCTGTCCACAACACGCGGGACCTGCCTGTAGATGGGATTGAGGCTCAACGTCTTGTTCCTCTCCAAGGTTCTCCTGAGATCCAGCTCATTGGGATGTGACAGCTGCAGAGCTTCCAGCAGCCTGGAGGTGTTGTCACCCAAATCGGTGATGGAGTCCACAGACACTCCCCCCTGAAATCAGACACAGAGGTGACAAGGTGCCCGGAGCCCTCAGTTCTTAAACCCCTGGTGCCCTCAGAAATCCCAGAACCTCGGTGCTAAAATGAACCCCCACAAGACTCCATACACTGGCCAACAAAATACAGAGGCCAGGTATGGGCCACCCCAGGGTGAGCAAGGGAAGTGAGAAGCTAGAGGGAGCTTTCCCATCCCAGGCACTCTGAGTACAAGCCCATCCAGCCCCTGGGTACATACTTGGGTGGCTAGCCAGTGCTGCTGCAGCCACGCTGCTATTTTCAGTGTGCTAGTTCGAACACAGCTAGCATGTGTCCGTCTGTCCACACTGGACACACGCTGCCAGTGGCTGTGCAGACAAACCCTTGTTTATACACACTGCCACTGCTGGAATTCCCCCTTCTATACACACCCCTACTGCTGCCAGAGCTGCTAGTGCCTCAGTCTAAATTCCAAGCAAACTCCAGCAAAACTCCTGTTCAGAGTGAAATTTCCCATGGAGCCAAGAGTCACTTCCCCCTTACCCTACCCCTGCTCTGCCTTTCCCGGTTGGCTGGAGTATCTTCTGGAGAGGCTCAATGGCCTGGAGTCCTTGTGGGGGCTGCTGGCTGATGCTGGCTCCCATATCCCCCCATTTTAATTTTCCAGGGTGACGACAAGGTAATAGTTGCTCCCTCTGCCCTAGACCCATAGAAGCCCCAACAGGTCTGCCTGCCCTTGCCCACCCCCATGCAGCAGCAGCAGGAGGATCAGAAAATGCCTTTCTAGGCTGGGTGCTACTCCCTGGAGGCCCATCTCCATCATCATGGGCTTGAGGCACCAGCCAACTTGTTGACACACTGGCTTCGTCAGGAGCAGGGACAGCAGGAAAGTGGCTAGTTACCAGATTCATCCGATATATTAAGTGATCTCCTGGCAGTACAATGTGCTGGATTTAGTTATTCACATTACAGTAGTGCCTAGACAGCCTGACCAAGATCAGGCCAGGGTCCAGGATCATAGAATATCATCGTTGGAAGGGACCTCAGGAGGTCATCTAGTCCAAACCCCTGCTCAAAGCAGGACCAATCCCCAGACAGATTTTTGCCCCAGATCCCTAAATGGCCCCCTCAAGGATTGAACTCACAACCCTGGGTTTAGCAGGCCAATGCTCAAACCACTGAGTTATCCCTCCCTCCCTCTGCAGTTCTGGAGCAGCCAAACATACGAAAGGTCCCGGGGCTCCGTTTACTTTTGCAGAGAATTTCAAAATGTTTGGTTTTGGCTCCCAATCAGAACAAAACCAAAGATATCAGCATCCTGCATGGAACAGAACATGCTTCCTCTGCCCAGCTGTACTCCCCTGTCTCAGCCCAGCAGAGTGGGCAGAAAAGCTTGCACCTCTACAACAGGCGGAATGAATCCTTGTCCTCCTCGGCCTGGTGACCACCTCTGACACCACTGACCATGCTCTTCTGATTGAAATCTCGTCTTCCCTCGGCTTGCGGGGCTCCGTGCTCTCATGTGGCCCCTCCAGCCTCTCCAATCGCTTCTCAACATGTTGTCCAGGGGACGCTCCTCACAGCCCTCAGAGCTTGGGTCCCCTGCTCTTCTCCTTCTGCATTTTATCTCTGGGTAATCTCATCAGCAAACACTAATTCAGCTGCCATTGCTGTACTGATGGTGCACAGATCTACCTCTCTACTCCAGACCTGTCTGTGTCTGTCCAAACTGCACTCTCAGCCTGTTTCTCTGACACCTCCTCGTGGACATCCAGCCATCAGTTCAAGCTCAGCTGGTCAGAACAGACCCCGTAATCTTGCTCTCTGAGTCCTTCCCTGCTGCTCGTCTCCCAACACCACCATCCTTCTCGTCACTCAGGCCCATATCCTGGGTGTCATTTTTGACTTGGCCCCCTGTCAAGATCCTCGCAACCAAGCCATAGCTAAAACTTACCAGTGCTTTCTGCAGTTCTCAGAGCCACCTTTCCTCTCCATCCACAGCTAAAACCCCTGTCCAGACCTTCATCATCTTGTGTCTCGATCACTGAAACATCCTCTTCTCTGGCTTCCGTAAATCCAGCCTCCATTCAGAATGCTATTGCAAAGATCTGGCATGTCACTTTACCATATCACCCCTCTCTTTGCACGGCCTACTCTCACCCACCTGTCTTTGCTCAGATCTGACCAAAAGATTGACTCCCCCTATCACTGGCCCATGATGCCAGCTTCCATTGCCCTCATGTTACATTTTCAAAGAAGCACCTTCATGCATTCTCCCATGCTGAACAGGTTTGTGCCAGTTTCCTTCTCCTCCCTCGTCTGTATCCAGTGTTGTTGCTTGTCTTATTCTTACCGTGCAAGCTGCTTAGAGCAGGGACTGTTTTATATTCTGTGTTTGCACAGTAGCCCACAGGACTTGGTGCTGCTGGAAGCCCCTCAGTTTCCCCAACAGAAGCCAACCCAAGGCTGAAAGCAGCCAGAGGGCCAAACTAGCACAACTTGACCTTGTAACTAGGGCCCCTGGGAAACAGCCTCAGTGGTTGGGGTGCCATGGCCCCCCTCCGGCCCGGCCTGATGGCAGCTTGCTCCCAGCACACAGTTTAGTTCTCACTCAACCTGTTTTGCAGCCTTACCCTTCGGTGGCTCCGGGACACAGTGTCCAGGAAAGTAGGAGAGAGCGGCTCATCGGCAAACTCTCCACCAAGCTCCAGCACGCAGCCTCCGATGAAAGGGGATTTCTTCTGAATCTGAGCTCGAAATTTAGTCACGGTCGCTTCCACCTCCAGGCAGTCCCTGCGGCTGCCTTTCACTGCTTCCTGCATTTGCTTGTGTGTCCAGTCATTGGCAATGACTTGGGAGAGCGGGATCCCAAAGGCCTGGGGACAACAGTCTGTAAAAACACGAGACAGTTAGGGACTGTGACCTGCAGGCGGACAGAAACGAGACAGAGACGTATCAGCAATCCCGCCCTCCAGCCAGGAGCCTGCACACTCTGCAGCACGGCAGAACTACACTCTGTGGCAACAAAAGCAGAGTCAGGCAATCTGGGGTTCCCATTGCAGTGGCAGGAGCCAGACGCTAAAGAACCATCAGCTGAGCTGCGGGCTGCTCACCACCACTCCTCTTTAGACAGCTAGGGGTCTCCCCCACCTCCAGGCCACAGCTCCCTGCCTGCAGGTGAGTCAGGCTCTTTCCTGAATGAACAAGGGTTCAACTCCTACCCACAAAGCAGAGGGCCGTGGGGAGGGAATCCTACCAACACAGAAGAGCCACAATAGGGTGAGCCCAGATACCGGGATGGTGGTGATGGGAGCATTTGCCAATCAGATGGGCTCAGAGTTAACACCCTATGGCAATGCAACAGGGCAACTCTCCACTCAGAGTGACTGACTCAGGCAGGCATCGCTGCATCGGTAACACTGTGGCCATGTGTTCAAGATTTTTCTTGCCCTCATGAGGCCCAGAAACCTTTTCTTTAGATAAACTTTGAGAGTCTAGTACCATGATAAGCCAGATTTCCAAGAGAGGTCAGTGCATCAGTTGCACATTGGGTACTGGGCACATTGGAAAATCTGACTTCAGTTCTGGGTACTGAACACACCTGACCTCTTGACATCTTCAAATCCTGAACGTGTTTCTGGGACACAGTGCAACACAAATTACTTGGGCTCAGTACAGGGTTAACTGGGTGAAATTTAAAGGCTTCTGCTATATAGGAGGTCAGACTAAACCATCTAATGGCCTCTTTTGGCCTTAAAGCCAATGAAATAGCAAAACACTTTGTTAATGCAGCATTAAGGTTGCCAGGTGATGGCTTGCGCTCTTCTGGAATGCGAGTTCAGCAAAACTGAGTTAAGGTGAATGCCCATAGATCCTTAACTCTGCCCCCTGTCCCAAGCTGGCAATAGCCACGGGGAAATATCTAAATCCACTGCAGCTGCATTCAGTGTGCTGGGTGTAGTGGTTCTGAATGGTAGAGGAATAAACTGGAGCAGCTTGGGAGAGCTGTGACTGTGACATGAGGAGATCTGGGTCTGAGACCACCCCATGTGTGTGATCAAAGGAAGGAGGTGCACATAGACCTTTAGGTTCCAGTCTGCACCATTTCAATGGAGGTTGGTCTGGAGCAGGGCACTGGGGTGGTCTTGCCTGGGAATTGTCAGTCATGAGGTGGGATATAAAAGCAGGCTGGGTTTAATGATGGGGAGGGGACAGTACAGGGTTACGTGATATCCTGTGTGAAGGGGCTGTTAAATTTTACAAGTGTGGTATTGTGTCAGGGAGCAGACTCAGTGTTTGAGCACAAAGCAAGTGCAGGTAGCATCAGTCCATTACAGTGACAAGGCAGAGCAGGAGTGTGTGTGTTATGGGCATACTAGGGCATCACTCAAAGAGGTGGAGTTATGGTTGTGTGGGCATTTCCCTTAACTCTGTATTTCCTGGATGTTAGAAGTTAGAGTTTTGCTGAGTTCAATGTTCTGGAAGGGCGTGAAGTATCACCAGACAAGCTTCATTCTGGGTTAACAAAGTTTTTTGCTATTTACTTGCCCAGTTTTTTAAATAGAGACAGAAAGGTTTGTCATTTAGACCATTGTCATTCTCTCCTTGGCTAGGTAATAATCCAAAGACACCATTTTTATATCGTGCTTTTCACCAGTAGATCTCAAAGAACTTTTACATAATGATCCCCATTTTACAGATGGAAAACAGACACAGAGAGGTTGAGTGACTTGCCCAAGGTAACCCGCTAAACCCCCAACTTCCTCCGCTACCCCTCACAGTCTCCAAGCCCCTCTGTCTTCTCCCTCTCCCCCAACCCCTCCTGTCTCCCTTACCTGCGCCCCAAACTCTCTGCCCTCCACTGCTATCCATTCCAATTACACATCAATCACTGAGAAGACCCAAGCTCCCTTCCCACATACTTTTGCACCTCTAATTACCCTCCCCTCCCAGTGATCATTCACATGTGTCATTCTTTTCTTCATTTCAAAAACAGTTCCAGCACCTTCTGAGTAGGCTGCTGTACTCAGACTACATTTCTTTAAAAAAAAAACAAAAAAGATGGAGCATTTTTTCCCCAAAACATTTACAGTTCATTATCCAATTTCTTCCATGGGTGGGTTTCAAACTTCAAACTAACTTGCTAGAATCTGTGAATTTAATGAAATGCTGGTGTTTTTCTGTTTGTTTGGGTTTTGTGTTATTTTGTTTTTTTCTGAGGGCTGTGTCTCAGGAACTCCCTATTCAAATGACCACACATTTGGATCACTAACCCTGCCCTACACTCCCATCAGGCATAGCAAATTTCAAGACAATCATTGTAAGTATGCAGATTTTAGAGCACTTGGAAGAGCTCTCTTTTAAACAGGAAACTGGTCTATACCTTTAAAAAAGCTCCAACAGGTGAGGAAAAAGCAGCAAGGGACAGCCTTCCCTACAGACTCTTGGTCTCCTGAATCTCAGCTGGAAATGTTTTCCAAGATGGGGACTGGCACTATAACAAGGCCGGCTGCCAGGCTGTGTGTGGAGACAGAGGGGGCAGGCTGCTCAAAAACAGAAGGGAGCTCTGTTGGAGAGTTTGCCAGGGTCTGGCTGCCCTGTGGCACAGCAGCTGTTGCTGAGAGTGTGAGGTGAGATGTTGGGGTCAGAGCCATTGGAGCTGGGGCCATGGGGTGATTCAGCAGTGTGTGCAGGGAGGGGCTGGTTGTTGGGGAGGGTGGGGTTTCTGCACATTGGGAGCAAGAACCAAGAAAATTTGGGGAAGGGGCTCTGCAAATCCCCATCCCCTGATCTTGGGAAAATGGAGAGTTCAGAGGCCATTCCCCCCCCCATGCTGAGCCCAATGTGCAATAGGAACCCTGGGGCTTCCCTGTCATCCAAGCTACTAGCTGATCACCTCAAAACCAATCAATCATCCCCTCCAGCTCTTTGAGGGCCTGGAGGGACCTGCCAGGGCTTGTACCTGAGGAACACCCAGGAAGCCCCCTCCCCAAACACCTCTTAGTCATGCTATCCTCACTACTGCACTTTCTCAGAATCCAAGGGAAATTTAATGTGCAAAACCCATAGGTAAGCTGGCATGCAGATTCCAGGTGATTCCCTTTATCCTGCTCTCTGGGCCCTTTCAGAATGGCAGTGTTGAATTCCCAAACACAAATGCTGCAAAGCCAGGACAGACACAATTCAGAACACATTTCCCACATAGCACAGCCATGCAACTTTAATTCTGCCCCTGTGGTCCCTGCCTTAAGGAGCTCCTCAGGGAGAGATCATAGTTCCGTCGCCTTCCCAAGCCTTTTTCTTCAGTGTGATCTCTGCTCCCCAGCCTGGATCCATGGTGCTACCTGGAGCACAGAGGGGATCTATTGGCACATACAAGTAGCTGTCCTGATCTGAAGTTATGCTGGGCACAGAGAAAAATAGCATGTTTGGTTGGGGAGGGCTAAGGTAACTGTATTCCTAGTTCCTCTTGCCATCCCCACAAGGGTAGAATTAAGGTTGTGTGTTTGTGTTGTGTAGGAAGAGTCTCCTTATCTCTGTTTCTATTTTATCATGATCTATGATTTGTTTAGTCTTGATCATCTTGAAGGGGAATTCCACATTTCCTGGCTTTTGCAACATTTGAGTGTTGGCAATGAACTCTTGCCTTCTGGCAGGGCAAGAAGAGCACAGGGCGGTGCTGAGAATACAAAGCTTTTGGTATGTCCGTAGTGTGATGCTGTGCAGTCTATATGGTTTTATAAAAACATAATAAGAAGTGAATATAATGTAACTGGAATATGCTTCATGCAAAAGGTCTCTTGTAAGGTATCATTACAAAGCTTATAATCTACTGAGTGTGATCATCCCATTTGTATAAATGTACCACTCTTGTATCTAAAACTAGAAATATGAAATATAACTCTGAGGGCCTATTGTAATTATGTAAAGTGTGGGCCATTAATGATGGTTTGGAATCTTGATGCCTCCCATTAACAAGGATCATTGTCTGCAGATGGCTGTGTTTACCTGTTAGTCTTCCTGTATATGTGTGTGCTGGCAAGTGGGCAATGAAGTCTTGCAGTGACATGTGATCATGTCACCTGAACTGGAATCCATCTTTAACCTGGTGCTTTTCCAGTAGGGGTGTGTGTGGAAACCCAAAGGGACAAAGGGTTCCTGCCTTATGCAAAAGATATATAAAGGGGTGGAAGAGAACAGAGGGGGAGAGGAGCCATCATGAAGAATCCCCTAGCTATCACCTGAGCTGGAACAAGAGCTGTACCAGGGGAAAGAATTGTGCCCAGGCCTGGAAGGTGTCTAGTCTGAGAAAAACTTACTGAAGCATCTCTGAGGGTGAGATTATCTGTATTTAGTTTGATTAGACATAATTTATTTTGCTTGGTGACTTACTTTGTTCTGTCTGTTACTACTTGGAACCACTTAAATCCTACTGTCTGTATTTAATAAAATGACTTTTTATTTAGTAATTTACTCAGAGTATGTATTAGTACCTGGGGGAGCAAACAACTGTGCATATCTCTCTATCAGTGTTATAGAGGGCGAACAATTTATGAGTTTACCCTGCATAAGCTTTATGCAGGGCAAAACGGATTTATTTGGGTTTAGACCCCATTGGGAGTTGGGTATCTGAGTGCTAAAGACAAGCACCACTTCTGTGAGCTGTTTTCAGGTAAACTTGCAGCTTTGGGGCAAGTGATTTAGACCCTGGGTCTGTGTTGGAGCAGACGGGAGTGTCTGGCTCAGCAAGACAGGGTGCTGGAGTCCTAAGCTGGCAGGGAAAACAGGAGCAAGAGGTAGTCTTTGCACATCGGGTGGCAGCTCCCAAGGGGGTTTCTGTGATCCAACCAGTCACAAGTAGGGAACCTGGAAATACTGTATTTATGACCCTGCCCATGGAGGAAATTCATTTATGGACACCTTCCAGAAAACAGTTTGGGGCAGGAGGAATCTTTGATTTCCAGGTGATTCCTAGAAGAATTCCTGTAAGAATGGTCTGTCTTTTTATTCACACACAAAAATAAAATAAACAAATGTCCCTCAAAGTCAAAACCCATTAAAAAAAACACACAAACCAAAGACCAAAACCCTATCCCAAGCAGAGCCACTCCACCAACCCTGAAAAGGGAGATGTGCCAGAAACTCTATGGAGTCTGATACCAGACACCTCTGTGTTCCTGGGGAACCAGGGTGCAGTATCCAGCCGGACTCATGAAAGACACCTTTCCCCTCCCCTCCCAGCCTCTGCTTAAACCAGAAGAAGAAAACTTGCAGAGAGCAGTGAAGGGCGTTGGGAGACACACCTAGACCCCTCCTGACAAGGGTGACAAGATTAAGACATCTCCATTACCATACAGAATGGAGAACAGAGACAACTCCCCTAGCCTCATCTGCATGAAAGATGGGACAGGAAGACATCTCAATTTACATACAGAATGGAGAACAGAGAACCACACTGAATTCTGGGACCAGAAAAAGCAGGGAAGCACTGCATCATGGGAATCTCTGCTCCAGATGCTAATGAACCTAGGCCTGCACACTCACCCAGCTCAGCAGTTATCAGACCAATTCTAGTAATGAATCCTTAATTGATATCCAAATACTGAAGCAGCCTAGTTGCATTGTGAGCTCCCTGGAAGAAAACACCACCCATAGCCAAGAGTGATCAGATCCTATTGTCTAGTCTAAAGAAAACCCTTGAGTCATCAGTTTACCTATAAACAAATCTAGTGTTCTCCCTTGAACCATTGTATTTTCTCTACAAAAATCCCTACTCACCCTTTAGTCAGGGTTCTGATGCTTAGATCCAAACTATGCATCAGTTCCACTGGAACTCCATCTTCTGACTGATTGTGCTGGGGGCTCTGCCTGTCTCCAGCATTCAGGACCCTCAGCTACCACCATCACCTGTGAACCCTGACCAGTTCAAGCCTCATGGAGTGGGTGAGATCCCCCCCCCCCCTTTTCTCTCTCTCTCTCTCTCTGTTTTCCTTTCTACCTTTAATCAGGTATGTTAGGTTGGTTTAGTCCTCCTTGTGTAGTTATCACTATTATTCAATAAATAAATTCTATGGTTAAGTTGGTTGCTTCTCTCTCTCTCTCTCTCTCTCTC